GTATGTAACTTTTCCCTACTATCTTTGCGATGGCCGCTTTGGTTATCAAAATGCGGAACATCCCCATCAAAATCTCTGCCATGTTCACCATTGCTTTGTTCTTGATCGTAAGAATAATCACGACTATGGCCTCTCTCTCCATCACGGGTCCTTTCCCTATCATGATCCCTGTCTCGAACTCTACTCCGATCACGGTCACGAACCCGCTCGCGCTCATAATCACGGCGATCACGATCATGTTCCTTGTTCCTGTCCCTATCCCTATCCCGATCACGTTCTGTATCCCTGTCCCTATCCCTATCCCGATCACGATCCCTATCTCGCTCATGATCCCGGTCCTTATCTCGCTCACGGTCTCGACCTCGACCTCGCTCATAGTCTCGACTGCGTTCATAATCACGAGAACGATCACAATATCCATCATGTTCACTGTCAGGCTCATGCCCATACTCTTGACCATGGTCACGATCGTTCTCCTGAAATTTTGATTTCTTCCGTTTACTTTCAGAAACATCTTTTTCATCTCCGAAGGGCTTATCATCAGACCTAGTGTGTTCTTTAGGGGGTAGGTCATCCTTCTGCTTAGCACCCCACTGTTTCTCGTCTTCAATGTCTTTTTCACATTTATCTTTGTTCTTATCTCCCCTCTGACTTCCATCTTTAACGTTATCATCTCCTGAAATCAAAAGCTTCTGATTTACATCATCAACGCTATCTTGATGCTTATCACCATCACCATAATTATCCCGCTTTCGCCTTGCTTGCTTCTCAGAATAACTCTCTGACCCTGGACTTCGTAGCTGCTCTTGAGAATTCAAGTCTGAAGTATTTTATAAAAACAAAAAGAGATTAGTAAAGGTACAGAAAAAAACTATTTTACACACTAGCTTTCCAGGCTTCCCCAGTGAATATGAGGCATATTGTTTTTACTCGATAAACTTAGATCATCAGATTGAGATCACCATCTTTTAACCACCCATAGATGCAGCATTCATGAATAGCAAGCGAGTAACAAATGCGATCTAGCAGCAATAACTCGTAACATACACTATCGGTAGATATAAGAACAAAGAAGCTTTAAAAAACTTAACTTTCCCTATCAAGATGACTTACAAAGATGCTAGAACCTCTTCATAAGAAATTAAAAATGTATCCTGCAAATTTTTTTCAGCCTCCTGTTGAGAATTTCAATTCATCTCAAGCACTGCAAAACAACCAATGAATCTCAATGCAGGTTGCAAACCAGCCAAAATCAACTATGTTTTCAATCAAACTCACTAAACAATGAGAACCAAACCACTAATTTACAGGCGGCCATTTCATAAATTCAGCCCCTGGCTTTCTCAACCAAAGAAAAAAAGATGTCACCAACGACAATGCATGCATTGGGACCAAACATGCAAATTTAACGGAAACAAGCTTTTCAGAGGTCAGGTCATTACAAATTCGATCATCAAATAATCGAGTTCCCTTACCAGTTTTATCAGACACCGCCTTGGACCCATAATGATCTTCACCACCATGCAACTTCTCACTTTTCCGTTCCTTATATTTCCTATCACGGTTTCGGTCTCTGTCTCTATCCTTCTCCTTCTCAATCTCTCTGTTTTCCCTTCGACTAGACTCCCTATGTTTCCCATCAGACTTACTACTACTTTTCTTCGTCTCCTCACCATCTACTTCCTCTCTCCTCCTACTCTTCTCACTAGAACTCTTCGACTTCTTCGAACTCCCCTCTCTGTCTTCATCTCCGCCATTCCACCTATCACTAAGACCGTCTTCTGTTTTCTCTTTGCGACGTTTCGAGGAAGTGTGCTCCTCGTAATACTCGCCATTGAAAGAGTCATAGTACTCTTTATTATCCTTGGAATCAAGCTTGCGTTTGCCTCCAGAACCCGATTCCTTCGAAACTCTAGTGCTACTCTCGTCTTTGCTCTTCCTCTCTCTCAAACTAGATTCTTTTTCCGAATCAGAGTACTCCCTCGCATCCCTAGAGCTATGTTTGCTCGATTTATGCCTTGAACTCCGTGGCATCCCCGGAAATCACTGAACAGCGAGGAGAAAAAGCGAAAACCCTGACGACCCAAAAGCCGAAACGAACACAGAGGATTCGAATACCCTAGTGAGCAACCTCCATAACCATAAGAACTCAGACTGAGACACTTGTCCTCTCGAGAAAACGGCGATTAAATCCTTAAAATGAAGAAAACAGAAACCCTAAAATCGAAATGGTAACTAAGATTCAGGCCTTGACCGCGAGGATACAAACCCTAGCTTGAGAAATACAGATTCCGTTGATGAGAAACAGTAACCGGAGACACCAGATCGCCGGGAAATACACCGGCGGCGGCGAGATTGGTACGGTGATTGGGGATAAATGTGGAAGGAGCCAATGATGCTGAGCAGGAAAAAAAAAACAGGGACGGGAAAAAAAAGAAAGGGATGCGCACGAAAAAACCTGAACTACGTTTTCTCATTTGATTAGGGGAAGCCTTGTGGGAGATAATTCCCATGTATTAATTACCGTATTACCCTCTAAAATCGGAGTTATTACGGTTATGTCCTGGTTTATGGTCTCGTTGCTTCTCGTCTATCAGCCAATCATATCCCGCCACGTCATAAAGAGTGAGATCGAATAGGCCCATTAAAATCAGGCCCATAAAGTGGGAGGCTCAATTGGGCCCATTAAAGAGAGCGGAGATATTTGTTAAAAGAGGGACGACAGACGTAGACGTGAGCCGAGCTCGAGGCGCGAGACCTCAGGCGTGCTTCGTCACGCAACTCTCACGCGCCTCTGTGTCGTTATATACGTGTTCGCTGCGACTCTTCCTTTAATGTCACACCATCTTTCCTTACGCAGTCAGTACTTTACCGAACCCCCATCTCTCACAAAGTATCAGAGATCCAAACAACCCTTTTTTTTTACGTGATTTGTTTTTTTTGTTTGATTTTCATTAAAAAAAAGAGCAAAGGGGAGAACAAATAAAAAGGGGTGAGAAAGAGGAATTTTTTTTTTTGGGGAGCCAAATCAGAGTAAAACGGGAGAGAGAGGAAAAGTTTCAAGGAACGAGAAAATTGGTATCAATGGGGATGTATCCGACTTATTACTGACTCATCAGGGGATTCATGAGTTTCATCAGGACCTAATGTCTCCTCCCCTTCACCACCACCACCACCATCATCCGACTTCACTTGCTCCTGTTTATGGCTTCTCTCCTCTGTGCGGGGTTTCCTGCTTTTTCCAGCTTCCATGGCATTGGCAACAGCCCCATCAGATGAGGAGGAGGAGTTGCTTTCATGTTTAAGCTCTCAAATTCGAATTCTTTAGCTTTTGAGGTTTTGATCGTTGGAGTTGTGTGCGGAAATTTTGTTTCTTTCTCGGGCCTGATTGTTTGATTCGGAGGTTAAGGTATTGATTTCTGGATGATATGGAAAGAGTATTTTGTTGAGGGGTTGAGTTTTCTTCAATGGTTTCATCGAATGGAACGGAGGAAATGACTAACTTGATGAACACCGATCGTTTAACGCGTCGATTATGTAAACGGCCTTGTCCTGTGTCGGGCGAAATGGTAACGTGATAAATTGGGATGGAGAGTCTCATTGTTTTTCCTCTGTTTTCCTTTTTTTTTTTGTAGAGGTTTGGTGTTTTGTTGAATGGCGCTTTGCGGTGTTTGTTCAAGTCCAAATCTTGGGAAATCGGAAGTGTGGTATTCTGCAAGAAATTTTTCGGCCAAATCGGTTGGTCAGAAACTTAACCGCATCGTATGGAAGCCCACGTATTCAGTTCGGACACGACCAGTGAAAGTCCGTTGTTCATCCTCCGGAACATCTAAATCTTCAGTGGAGATGGACGAGTATAATCAGAGCAATGTGTCAGTTTCCGCAGAGGATGCATCTGCACATGTAATGCAGTTCACTTGGTCCGATTTTAAGGTTCTTGATCGTGTCAGCCTTGGCCATGGAGGGAGGGTATGCCAACTTCATTTACCTGTATATGCACTGACTGACAGTGGCTAGTTACCCTATCTTACCGATTTCCTGTTTTGCAGGCAGATGAACTTGTGTTTGAAGCCATAGTTCAGGATCCAGATAGGTCAGTCTCTGGTTCATTGTATTACATCACTGCAAGGTAAAATCAAGCTTCATATATGGTGCTATAATGTAAATGTTGCAGCCCTTTATTTAACCAAGGAGTTGTTCTTCGGAAACTTACTACCACTCATGCTCAAAGGAGGGGAAGACGAGCCATAGAGGTTCGGTCTCCTTTTTGGGTTTAACTTAGTTTAGTGCTCTTCATTTTGCAAATGTGGAATTTGTATGACTTGCAGGTATTAAAGAAGCTTGCTCGTCGTAGACTTCTATACCATTCTTACTCGTTGCAAGTTCATGGTTATATCTCCTCTAATTCAAAAGATGGTCGTGACTTATTTACCCTGGTGCATGGGGTAAGTGCTTCACTTTCAGACATAGACGTTGCAAACCGTTTGTTTAAATGGATTCCTTCCTCCATTCTTTACTTTGTGTCTCTTCTTGCAGTACCATGGTAGTTTTTCTCTGAGGCATTGGCTTCAACAATCTGATTGGCTTCCAACTTTAGAAGCTACCCTTGCATTGGATGAAGAATCTGTCAGAAAGGTGGGGGATGATACAATTGGTGGGCCTGCTGTTTCGAGGCAGTTAAGAATGATTCGTATACTCATGAGGGATCTTTTGATCGGGGTATGTCTTGTCTCTCTTATACAAGCAGAATAACCTTTCTTTCCTTGTTTCTCATGCATGGTTTAGCTGAAATGATTTTTATACTCTCTTAAACTTGAAGGTCAATTACTTGCACAGCCATGGTCTTGCCCACACAGAACTGAGACTGGAAAATGTGCACATAAGCCCTGTGGATAGACACATCAAAGTTAGTATAGACCTTTCAACTCTAGGTTGCTATGTTAGTGTATTAGATAAATGTGTGACTTTTCATTGTTATTTAGAAGTTCTATCAAATTTTGCTTCTGGGTTTCTCCATATTAGGTCGGGATTCTCGGAAATGCTGCTGACTTTTACGAAGATGGCCCTAGTTCTAGTAACCGTTATAGTAACATGGATAGGCGTCAAATGATGATAGCATTTGACATGAGGTATTTTTGAGAGTGAAACATTTAACTTAAGTTTTCCCTTGTTTGCTTTACCAAGGCACTTATTGATACTTGTTTCTATTTTCCCCTCGAAAGGTGCGTTGGATTCATGATGGCAAAAATGATACTCAAAGAGCTTATGGATCCTTTGATCTTTGCAAAATTTAAGTCTTTCCTTGCTAAGGTATTAACATGACCGACTACCTTTCCGCATATTCCAGGTTGCTTGTTTTTACTCGTAAATTTGGTTTTATTTTTTAAATCTATGTGACACCCTCCTATATATAACTTTCAAATGGAATTTGTTATGCCCAGGGGAATGATCCTTCCTCGCTACGGGAATTCTTTGTGAAGACTCTCAATACAAACTCCCAATCTGGAAATGTTGGAGTGCAAGTATGTAACTGATGTTTAGGGTTTTGGGTTTTGAGTTTACTACGAGAATGTGATTTGCTGTCCATTCAGGAGTTATTTATCATCCTCTTTTCTTGCAGATACTTGATAGATACTGGGGTTCAGGTTGGCACCTTCTATCGTTATTGATTGCCGCCAGGCCATCTAAAAGAATAAGGTAACAAATCGGAGAATTATAAACATGTCTTGGAAACACTATCTTTGATTAATTTCATACTTACGGGGGGTGAAAGAAACGTTGAATTTTGGGTTGCAGTTGCTTGGATGCTCTTAAACATCCCTTTCTCTGTGGTCCAAGATGGCGAGTTGCCCCATCCATGGATATCATCCGGTGGGGTCTCGGATCAACTGCAGTGAGGATTTCAGAAGAATACATCTACCATAAGCCTCAGGTATAATGATTTTGTAGTCCGGTTTCTTCTATACATCTTCCATAATCTCGAGGTGTGGCCATGTTCCAATCTTTCTTGGCAATGATAAAATATCGGTAAAGCCAGTGTAAACCTGCTTAATCTTTCACTCGCCCTGAACTTCAACCTCAATTATCCTATAGAGTCAGTTGTAGTGAAAAGGTATCAAATCGGGAATATGATAAAGCTGGTAGCTCCAGAGAATGTTCATTTCCGTTTTCCACGTCTTAAATAGCGACATTTGCTTGGCTAACCGAAAACGCCTTCCTTCCTTCCTTCCTTCCTTCTAGCGGCAAAGGCTTGCACACTTCATCGAACTAATGGAAATGCTGAATCCATATCCAAAACCAAAAGTAAGGAATTCTCATTTTCTTCATCCTCGATCTTTCCCTCGAGTCCAGTGGCTTAACTTTTCTTCTTTTTCGGAAAAATGCAGAACTGGTTGGAGCTATTCCCGGGGAAATGGCGATTGCTTTACTCAACTGGAAGGCACATAGGTTTAACTCTGCGTCAGGCCACAACTCGTGCACTGATAGGCAATGTCCACTTAACGATAACAAGAGCTTCAAAGGTCAATGACGTCCTCTCTTTCACCACCGAAGTAGGATTCACCGCCATGACAAGCAAAGACTGGCCACATGGCAAGACCGGAACCACCGGAAAGTTACAGACGCTCTCTCAAGTCAGACTAGTGGCCGGGAGAAGGCTGTATCTGAAAGAAGAAAAGAACATCGGGAAGTTCTCGTTGGGTGGACCAGATACGGAGGAACCACTTGCCCAGAAGCTCGAGAGTGAGAAGTGGAAGAAAGTCGTGCCCTTTAAGGAGTTTCCGTCTAGTCTTCCAGTGGCAAAACTCGTTTCGGGCGAAATCGAGGTGACGATGAATCTCGACGATCGGGTAGAATCCCCGGGGAACGTGGTTCAAGAAGTGAGAAAGCAGATCCCGCCCGAGATGTTCGATCTATCAAAACTCGTCTGCGGAACGTACGTAGATCGCAGGTTACTCGTGCTTCGTTGTGTGAATGGTTCGGCTTTGTTGTTCACTAGATCTTGCTTAGACCACAACTTAATGTAGCCTTTTGGTTCTGTTTTTGTTGTGTTGTACGTGTATATTCCAAATTTATTATTAGGACCATTCTTTGTTATGTCAGAACTGTGGTATGCATAGGTAGGGCCGGGCAAAATTATCCGAAAATCGGGTATCCACGATCTATAAATATTTGCAAATCCGAATCTAATTTCAGGTAATAGAATTTTACAAAACAGGTATTCGATTAATCTTGTTAAAAATCTCAAAATAAGATGGGAGCACAAATTCAAATACTCCATTTTTTTCGGGTATCCGATCGTACATATATCATCATGTCTTATTTTATACGCGGGCCCCAGCACCAGGAGAACGAATATATTTATGTGGCTCTTTTGGGACTAATGTTTTTGTTTCTCTATGAAATTGAGAGAATTTTTAACTTGGAATATCAATAATTAGAATTCGATTTCACAATATATTTATACAGATATTCTTCGGGATCATTGCCATATCGAATTTGTTTTAATATGCTTTTTGTTGAGGCTTGGAGTAAATTAATGAAAACAAATATTCACATCATCAGCATCAATTGTCACGTAAAGTTATTTTTAATAGTAAACACGCAAGATCTAAATTAAAATATTCATCTATTGAAATTTATATCCCTTTTGGTAACATGAGAACCATATATTATAAAAAAAAAACGAGTCATTCAATGGATTGTTAAATGTTTTTCTAATTACTGACTTTATTCGGCTTAGATTTCATTTCACATATGTTGTAAATTATTCCAAAGTGTTGCATAGTAGTTACAAGAATAAAACCTATAAACTTTGTGTGGCCGTATTTGTCGCGATGACCATTTCGGTTATCAATCGAATAACCGAATCGAATCGAATAAGATATAACCGTATTCGAACCGAACCCAATATATGATTTTTTTAAACCAAAAAAATCGAAACCGAACCGATTAAAAAATAACTGAAAAACCGATAATTTTCTTGAAAAAAATGAATTTTTTTACAACGAAAAAACCGAATTCAAATCGAACCGAATCGAAAAATAATCGAATCAAAGTTTATATAAAAACCGAATGGTTATAACTTTTTTATAACCAAAATAATCGAATTCGAATATAATGAGTTTAACTCCAACCGAAATCCGAAATGGTTACTCCTGTTGCTCTTTCTAAGCGTGAATTCCAATTTCTGTTAATAATACTCTAGATTAGTTATTTTTCGGAATAATTTTTTTTTTAAAAAGTTACGTAATATATTTTTGTCGTTTAGTATGTCATCAGAACTCCAACATTGATGACGTGGACAAGCTTCCATCCGGTGGCATTTCGGTGCAGTTTTCCAGAACCAAACTATATCCAAACGAAAAATATAATACCATTTTTAATCAAATCGTTTAAAATTTTTAAACGATAATTTTAAAAAAAATCAAATTTTTTGAAATCAAATCGAATTGAATTAAATTATTAAAAATTTTAAAATAAAAATAAACAAAATATTCTTAATAGAAACCAAAATCAAAATCAAATTGAAGAAAAATTAAAACCAAAGCGAATCAAACCGAATATAAAAAATAATCGATTGATATATACTTTTACATAACCGAATTTTAAAAATAATCGAAAGAATCTATTTTTTAAATACGGAAATTCCCTTTGAATCTAAATTAAACCAAATTTAATGTAAAAGTCAAACGATTTTTATTTTTTTTAGAAACAATCGAATTTGAATATAATCGAAATACATGAAATGATCATCCATAATTTGTTGTATTATGCCAAATTTTAGAAAATTAGAAAATATTATCAATATTTATATTTTGTAGATTTTTTTTGTAACAAACTATATTTATTTTATCTGTAAATCTAAAACTTTGATTAGAATTATATCTAATCATGTTTTTTCTTGAAATAATCTACCACATAGTATTTAATTTTAAATGCCGTCGTAATCACGAAATTGATATTATCATCTTGAGTCTAGTAACTAAGTGTATTTCAAAGGACCTAAGTATGACTAGCCATTTGTTAAAGATTTTGGCCAAAGAAAAACTCCTGAAATCGACGGGTGACAAGATTATAAAATGTAAATAATAAATATAATTGTGTAATATTTATATTTTTTCGCAATACCAAAATATCAATAAAAAATCACACACACCCACACATGTAACACATATATTTACATACACACATATATGGGTCGAGTTTTACAGTGATAATTCATCAATTTATAAGTGTCATATTTTCATTTTCTCTTATCTCAATCTGATTTTAATATCAGATGTCATTAGATTTTGATCAAAGTCGTCCCAAATTTTTAGTCCGTACATATTATAAAATTTAAATAATAAAATTAGAAAATATTAGTAAAATTAAATTTAATTTTAAAAATTAGAAAATATTAATAATAAAATATCAGATGTCATTAGATTTTTAATATTAAATATTTTAGTAATTGTGAGATAATTTAATTTAATGATAATAAGTAACAGTTTTTAAGTATTAGTAATAACAATATATATTTAAAATAATCTACAATATATGAGTTTCTAAATATTGTAATTGTTGGTATGTATTTATGTATTCAATAGTATGTATAGTAATTATCTCTATAGAGATTATAAAATTAACTACAAAAAATAAAATTTTATCAATTACTATTCTAAAAAATAATTTAAAAAAAATAAATTTTGATCAAGATAGATATTTTACCATAATTTTATGTTCATTTTGTTTTTGTTCATAATTATTGTCTATTATGGACATGTTTTGTAGCATCGAGTAATTTACTAATAAACGTTTATAGATTTTGACTAGTGTATATATATATATATTACTGAATTAATATCAATAAGTCTATTCTAATGTTGAATCATAAGAATATAAAAACAATAACTTACGATTTACAACACATCTAAACCTTATTTTATTCTTTCGGCGAATAATAATGGTTAAAATTATATATATATATATATATATATATCTTTATTGTAAAGGAAAAATACTTAAAAATTTCTGAACTTGTAATTTGGGATATTAATTCCTTAACTTGTAGGTGCGTCTATTTATTCACGAACTTGTATTTTTAAACTCAGTGATTCCTAAATTTGCTAATTGATTGACATAGAGTGATACGTGTCATATGTGATTAATGAAAAAAATCATTAATAAAAATCATTAACGTTAGAAGATTTTTATTTATTAATTATACATGACACCGTTGCATAGATATCATTGTGATTTATCTATTATTGGTTGATATTTTTTATATAAAAAATATTTATATAATAGACAACGAAAATATTGTATATTGATTTTTTTTGTTATAAATGAATAGCTATATTAATAATTTTATTATAGATATAAATAAGAATCGATCACATTAGTTAACAAAAAAAAAAAGAATCGATCACATTTAAATTGTAATGTAATCATAAATCTATGGGAGATTCACATATTAAATATTAAACTTTAACCAAATTTTCCAAATTAAATACTCAACTAACTCATTTCTAAATTAAATACTCAACTATATTTAAACTGATAAATAAAAACCAAAATTTTCAAATTTTAACATATATCTAAGGGTAATCCCAAAAAAAACCCTGTACTTTTTTTCGTCGCAATTTAAACCATATTCTTTTTTTTATCCCAAAAAATCCTATACTTTTCAAAAATTTAAAAATTATACACATTCATATACACATATTAATTATTATAAACACAAAATTAATTACACATTTATTTTCCACAAAATTAATTACACATTTATTTTATATATTTATATGTATATATATGTTTTATATATATGTGTGATATATGTATTTTTTCCTAAAAATCATTATATATATAAAAAACTATTTATTATTTGTATATTGTTTTATATATAAGAAACTATTTTCCAACATGTTTTTTTGGACAATTGAACATATAAAAACATGTTTTTTTTTGTAACTATGGGGAACTCCTGTGACTATCTACCCTTACAAACGGAGACGAACTAAAAACATGTTCTTGGAAAATAGTTTCTTATATATAAAACAATATACAAATAATAAATAGTTTCTTATATATAATGATTTTTAGGAAAAAATACATATATCACACATATATATAAAACATATATATACATATAAATATATAAAATAAATGTGTAATTAATTTTGTGGAAAATAAACGTGTAATTAATTTTGTGCTTATAATAATTAATATGTGTATATGAATGTGTATAATTTTTAAAATTTTGAAAAGTATAGGTTTTTTTGGATAAAAAAAAAGTATAGGGTTTAAATTGCGACAAAAAAAAGTACATGGTTTTTTTGGGGTTATCCCGTAGATATATGTTAAAATTTAAAAAGTTTGGTTTTTATTTGTCAATTTAAATATAGTTAAGTATTTAATTTGGAAATGAGATAGTTGAGTATTTAATTTGGAAAGTTGGTTAAAGTTCAATTTTTAATATGTGAATCTCCCTAAATCTATTGGTAGTGATGTAGGACTAATTATATAAGGGAGATTTACATATTAAATATTAAACTTTAACCAAATTTCCAAATTAAATACTTAACTATCCAACTTCCACATTAAATACTCAACTATATTTAAATTCACAAATAAAAACTAAACTTTTCAAATTTTAACATATACCTAAAGGATAATCCAAATTTTACTTTTTTTCATCACAATTTAAACCCTATACTTTTTTTTTATCCAAAAAAACCCTATACTTTTCAAAAATTTTAAAATGATACATATTCATATATATATATTAATTATTATAAGCACAAAATCAATTACACATTTATTTTCCACAAAATTAATTGCACATTTATTTTATATATTTATATGTATATATATGTTTTATATATATGTGTGATATATGTATTTTTTCCTCCTAAAAATCAGTATATATAAGAAACTATTTATTATTCGTATATTATTTTATATATAAGAAACTATTTTTCAAGAACATGTTTTTTTGGACAATTTAACTCATATAAAAATAATAAATAATTTCTTATATATATAAAAAAATTAGAAAAAAAATACATATACCATACATATATAAAACATATATATATATATATGTTTTTGGAAAATA